AAAAGAAAAAAAAAGAAAACCAACTCTCAACTGACCTTTCACATGTGCCAATGCAAATTGATTTGAGATCCACTGGAATTAACCTGAAACACAAAAAAGTAATCCTCATTCGGTAACCCCCCTGCAATTATGCTCAAAACTTGTTTCAACCTCACCGCATCAAAATGACTTTTTTTTTTCTTTCTGGAATCTATCACGCCTGGCCGCTTATTGCGCAATTGCGGCTGGCCAACTGGACTGCCACGCACAGGCGATCAGGACCCATGTGGGAAGGTGAGGAAAGTCAGGCCGTTTTTTGTTGTCTTTTCTCTTTTTCAATGGCTAGTGGGCTGCAGAGAGTGCAGACAGCAGCCTGCATTCTGCAGCTGTAGACTGCAGCCAACACCACACGCACACAGAGTCACTGCTACCGGTAGTCCTAAGCTGTTATCTGCCGTCTGCAGATCGTGCAGGCGACAGTCTGCATTCTGCGTCTGTAGACTGCCGACAAACCTCTCTCTCTTTCTTTCTCTCTCTCTCTCTCTCTCTCTCTCTCTCCCTCTCTCTCTCTCTCTCTCTCTCTCTCTCTCTCTCTCTCTCTCTCTCTCTCTTACTGGGAGAGGGGGAGAACAAAGGTTACAAAGATGGAAGACAGTGAAGAAGGGACAGCACAAAGCCATGAACATTGATGCAGAGTTGCGACATTAGGCAGGCACTGCAGGCAGCATTCTTTTGTTGTTAGAAAGTTTTCGAAATTGACCCATATGTGGAGCCTTAGGGTGAACCAGGACACGAATTGGACAGCGAATGGATGGCGAAGGAGACGTCCACAAGGGTGATTTTCTCGACGTTCAGAAGGGTGATTTCGTGGAGAACCAGAAACCTGGACAGCCGGGAGGTCTGAGGCTGGAAGGCCTGGTAGCTTAGCTGCAAATACAGAAATCTTTCACACGTGGTGGCGAGATGGCATGCCAAGACTGTGATAAACAATGGAAATTCTACGATTCAATGAACTCTTTCCAGTGTATTTCGCCCTGGATACGATCAGATACAGCCAGGAAAGCGCATTAGGCTGGCAATGCGCTCATCATATAACAAAAACGAGTAACTGACCTCAACTGGGGAATTCGTGATCACCTACGCCACCAGCCGCATCGCCCGGGTCACCTTGTTTGCCCGCCCGGCCCGGCCATGC